CTAGATTAGCTATGCTAACAAAAAGGAGCAGTAGCAGGTTTAATTCAAACACCACAGAGATGGGGGAGGGTATAACTCAGTGGTAGAGTGCATGCTTAGGATGCACAGGATACTGGGTTCAATTCCCAGTGCCTCCACTAATATATAAACAAATAAAATTACCTCCCCCCCAAAACAAAACAAGTAAAAACACCGTATAAATCTAAAAATATTTTGGCTTATTTCCCAACCTAGAAATATTACCAGGTGGGAAGGCATGATACAAAAGACAGAATCTATAAAGGAAAAATGCTGATCAATTGGGCCATATGCAAACTACAAGCCTTTGCACTTTAGCAAAACAAAATCTAAACATTAAAAGACCAATGACACATTGAGAAAAATATCTACTCTATATAATAAAGGGGTTATTTACTATACAAAAAAACTTGCATGTTACTAAGAAAAAAAGCAACTGCAAAAGAAAAATAGGCAAGGAACATGAAAAAAAAACAAAAACAAACAAACAAAAAAAAAAGGCCAATAATGTGGAGGTTGAGAAATACAGGCTGGACTGTTTGAGCTCAATCCCTGGCTGGCCTCCTCCTTGCTGGGAGACCTCTGGCAAACTACTTCACTTCTCTGTGCCTTAAATGCAAAATGGGGATGGAAACAGTCCCTGCTTCACAGACTTGTTTTGAGGATTAAATGAGAAACTAAGTGAAATTGCTCAAAAAAGTGCCTGGCACACATGTAAGCAAGCATTCAGCAAATGTTAGCTGCTATTATTATTAATCTATTTATTGTTGCTATTATCATCGTTATATGAAAAGATGTTTTGACCTTACCTAGAATCAAAGAAATGAAAATAAGGACTAAGATGCTATTTTTATGCCAAGCAGACTGGCAAAACGTGAACCTGATGACGAGAATCTGTGACTGGCAGGACGATGAAGCAGACGCTCAAGCAGACATCTGTGAGAGTGGAAACGGATCCCATTTTCTGGGGGGAAGTTCTGGAAAGATCCGTCAAGATGCTTGAAAAGTACATACCCCTTGATACAAACTCTACTTAAGGAATTTATCCTAAGGAAATCATTGAACAAGATGCACATGTCAGGTTATCTCAACATTAACCATAACAAAAAACTGAAAAACCTTAATTTTAAGTATCGTAAATAACTGACATAGAATTATCACATGATGGAATTCTATGCAATTATTCAAATGATGTTGTAAGATTACATTCACTAACCTGTGACTCGGCCTTTGATATATTTTTAAGTGAAAAAAATAATCAGGTCACAAATGATAATGTACGGTAGGACCCAAACCTGACATGATCTGGTCCCTTCTACTGTTCTGCCCTCACCTCCCACCACGTTCTCCCAGCTCCTCTAGCTCCAGCCTCCCAGGTCCTCGTGAGGGTTGCTGAACACACCAACCTCACTCCCTCCTCAGGGTTTTGGCTCTTGTTCTCTCAGCCTGGAATGTTTTCTCTCTACATCTGTGTCTGGTTCCTCACTGCATTCAGGTCTGTTTTGATGTCACCTCCCCAGGGAAACCTTCCTGGACCACGCTAGTGAAGTGCCACTCTTCCCTCCTCCTGTCACTTCTCTATCCTTTTATTTTATTTGTTTTCATAACACTCATCACCAAATAGGATATTTAATTGTTTACCTGTTTACTGCCTTCCTTCTGCTATTAGAGTGTAACTTCCACACAGAAAGTACTTAATAAGCATCTGGTGACTGAATGAATGCAGAATATGTCCCTGATTTGATTAAAAGAACATTCACATTGATGAGATGAGAGATGCTGGGTGATATCTATTTTCTTTATACCCTTTTCTGGACATTTCATAATAAATTCATAATATTTTTATGCTCAGAACACAATAAAACCACCTCTGTTTTGAAAACAAAATTTTACCTTCCTAATTTTGTTTGATCTAAGCTTGTATTAAAAGCAATGCGTTTCCTTCAGTTTGATATCTGGGACTGGTAGCACAGTGTGTTTTTTGGATGACTGAAGAATATAGCCCAGGATTTACATCTGCCCGGGATAAAGCTCACGCAGCAACGAGTCAGTGTTAATTGTGTAGATTTTCATGCCAGCCAGCCAGACACATACACACCTCAAACAGAACCAACATCACAACAAAACCAAATCAGAATGCGAACATTGTTACCAGTGGCAGGCTCGCAGGGAACTGGGGTGTAATATTTGGAGTACACTTCATCTTTTGGACGATCAGGAAACACGTAGATAAGGTAACTTAGGTCCCCCAAGCGGTCGGCCAGGGACCGGATGGAGAAGTCTCTGGTGGTAAAAGGCATCAGATTCCAAAACATTCTTTCCTCTAGATCAACAAACAGAGTAATCATAGTCTAAATATGATTTCTGAACAGGAAGTCTTAAAACCTAAATTTACTACAAACACAACCCTCCACTAAAATTGTCCCAGTAAAAATCTCCATTTAAAAACCACCACAGGTTGTAGATTAAGTAGGTTTTAAAAGCCCTGGGTAGATAAGCAGGTAATGCATCCATCACTTCCCTAGCGACCAAATGATCTCAGGTACTTTCAAGTTCACACAGTACTCTGTCCTTCTCTAGAAGAAACCTTCCACTGACTCCAGTCCCTGATTACCTGTACAAAAGTACATAAGAGAGACAGAAAATGTGTCCCTAGCTAGAGGATGCGTGAGAGTTACTAAAAGCTATTAAAGTCTTGAAGTCATAAAAAATCAGCAAGCTACTCCTATCTTACTGTGAGGGCCAGAGGAAAGAACTAACATTCTTGGATAGAAATGATTGGTGGCAATATCCTTACATGAGGATAAAGGAATAATTAAAATTTTGCATTATTTCCACTCTAGTGACTTCAGATAACAAAGTAATTCTTTACAGAAATAAGCTCAAAGTTGAGTAGTAAGAAGGCAAACATTTCAAAAGGCAGGCGGCTGAGATTCTGGACAGGCTACTGCATTACAGGTAGTCATGTCAGGCTATACATTTGTGTTTCTCAAAATTAGTAGCTGTGTTTCCCATAGTAAGATTTTACACAGGCTGCAGCTGTGTCATGGTTATACCTCTGTGCTTCCCATAATTAGTATTGGCCCCAACAAATAGTCAGTATTCAATAGCTTGTTTGTTAAAGTAATTCTGCAACAAAAGCAGCTAATGAGAACAAAGCTACGTCTTGAAAAGGGAGGGGCACTCACGAGAATCAAACTTCCAAGCAATGGTGATGCCACCAATTTCAGAGTCGCTGAACCTCAGCAGGAAGGTCCCGTCTGGCTTGTTAATGAGCAGGTCGTGGGCCTGTTGCTTGTTCACGAAACCCAAAATAGCCCTGGATCACAAAGGCCGAAGGAGCAGAAGCAGAGTGTGATATTTTAACGCTGGAAGGAAGATCTTCCTACCCTACTGCTGACTTAAGAAGTGACAATTCTCACCCATCATTCCAATGAGGCTTGAGATGTTTTTTTAACACTTCCATCACACCATCAAACCACTGCCAGAAGGTGTAATTCCGTCCTGGTAAATTCTCCTGGTTGGAGATACAACAATGAACCAAGTAACACTTGGGATATTCCCTAGGTACTTTAACTGGAAAAATTAAATGGAAAACAACATCTACACTGTCAGAAGCATACAAATATACATGTCGGCCTGAGTTTGACCAAATGGTCCTACAACTCCACCCTCCCCCCAAAAACCCCCACAGAATACAGAGAAAAAGACAGAAGACAGAAATATACCACACAGCAATTACCAACACCCAGTGGACCCCTGTTACAGACACTTTCCCCTGAACCTGGGCTGACTTGACTAGTCCTGCTGGTTTGCTGTGTGGTCCGTGGTCCAGGGGCGCTTCTGAGAAATGCAGAATTTCAGGCCCCCTCTCAGACCTGCTGTAGTCAAGGCTGTACCTTAACAAGATGCCCAGGTGATTTGTAAATCTGAGCTGGATTAGATCACACTGTGAAGCCACAGAGAACACTCCATCATACAGATGTTACCAATAATTATCAGCAAAACGCAGTCACCTGATTCGACTGGAAGGCAGCAGCCTTATTGCAATGGCACAGACAGACCACCCAGGTCTCCGGCTTCCCCTGTCAAACCTCCTCTTTCTACTAGAAAACCCGTTAGCTGGCTGGTTAGCACACAAACACTTAAGAATTAGATTCAGGGACTATGAGATTGCTGAATTAGGGCACTTAAAAACACTTCACATCATGGTGGGAGTGTAAGAAACAAAAGTTAAATTTAAAATCAAAGATCGGGGGTGGAAAAGTACAGCTCAGTGGTAAAGTGTGTGCTTAGCATGCATGAGGTCTTGGGTTCAATTCCTAGTACCTGCATTAAAAATAAATCTAATGACCTTCCCCTCACAAAAAAATTAATCAAATCAAATCAAAGATGTGACAGGAGACACCTGAATTACCAGATGCTAAAGGAAGTCTCCATCCTCAGCATCCCCCTTGGTGGGCTGAGGTCCTGCGGGAGCCTGACTTTGCATTATACATCAGGGAACATCAGAGTCGAGGGGATAGAGCCATGGAGCTCCGATCACCACAAATGCTTTACTTCCCACAAGTTACACTACTGCTTGCTTTGTTCTGTTCCTTTACGAAGGAAGAAAATGCACTAGCTGCACACAAAGCCCAATTCACTTACATATTCAAAGACCTTATTTTCTACATAAAAATGCGTGTGGTTGTCCATCTACCCAGAAGCTTCCTATCACCATGGGCACGCTGGATTAGAGACATGAGGGCTGCGGCCCGGGGGCCCCTGAGGGATCTGGTTTGGAGGGGCTGTTCTAACCGCAGGGAGCGCGTGCCTGTCCCTCACCCTGTTGAACTGGGACCAGGACACGGACATGCCGTTGTAGTCCTCGAGGTGGCTGCTGCTGCTGTTGAACAGCTTCTGCGCCAGGAACACGAGGTTCTCCTTGGTCAGGCCCCGGTTGCTCTGCACTTCGGCCTTGAATTTCATGTTGAGCGCCTCGCACAGCTGCGGCCACAGGACTTTGTCGGGCACCGCGAACGGCACCCTGCCCTGGAGGGGGAGAGAAGCCAGAACCTTAGGAGAAAACAGCTGCGTGATTTATTCCCTCAACCTGCAGAAGGAAAACACTGATGGCTGGATGGAGTTACAAACACTTGTCTGGCTGAGCCTGAGGATAAATTCAAGCTTTCTTTGGGTGCACAGTTCTGTGAAACTTGGAAGGTTCTGTTCTGCCGTCTTCACACACAATTTAGAAGACAGCCTCGTGCTATGTGCAGTGCTCCATAAATGAGCTGCTGTACGTACAGTCCCACCCCACGTTCTAACAGCCATGAAAACAAACCAAGGTCTGGGTCTGACCCTGTAAACTCCAAGGGAGTAGAAATCTAAAAGACTGGTTCTCTGGGGAGAAGGGGGGGGGTGAGAGAGAGAGAGAGAGAGTGTGTGTGTGTGTGTGTGATTTCATACGTGTGTGTACAAGTATCATCCTTGCCCTTGACCCCTTCTGCCCTTACAGCTCAAAGTGAAACACAGTATGAAAGTGAAAACTGTGAGTTGACCACTTAATGAGAAGCAGGTTAGAATATAAACTTATCATAAACTGTTTTTCATCCCACTCAGCCAGCATACTTCATATTAAATATTACAAAAAAAAATTTTTTTTGTGGGGAGAGTATAGCTCAGTGGTAGATCGGATGCTTAGCATGCATAAGGCCTGGGGTCGATCCTCAGTACCTCTGTTAAATAAAAACTACTAATAATAAATAAACCTAATTACGCCCTCTGCCCCCCATTTTTCTTGGAATAGGGAATTCCTTCAGATGATATAAAATTTGAAAAGCACAGAAGGGTATACAGTGAAGTCGCTTCCCTATCCCTGTCCACCAGCAATCCAGTTCCTTGCCCTAAAGCATGGCCTCCCCTGTTGTGTAGACCGCCAGAGATATTCTATGCATGCCAGCAAGTATGTATAATTTCTCCTTTTTGAAAATATAAAATCCACATGTTCTGCACCTCCCTTTGTTTCACTTATTACTTTATCCAGGAAGCCTCACATCAGCACCTAAAGAAATGCTTCCATCTTCTTTTGTGGCTGCTAAATATCCTGCAGTATATGGAGGAACAATAATATATTTAATCAGACTCCCAGAGATTTAAGTACCAGCCTCCAGTCTTTGGTTACTACAAACAATGCTGCAATGTATTTATGTCATTTGACACCAATGCAAATACTTCTGCAGAATAAATTCCCACAAGTATGTGCTTATTTGAAAACAGCATAAAATGTACACTAATCATTTACATAAGTGAAAATGTTAAAAATGCTTATTTATTTAGATACTTTAGCAAATGACATGTCACAAGAGATGCCAGAGTTACACGGGGAGTGAGATCTGTGGACACGCAGGGAGGGAAATGAGAGCAGACATGGCAATCCTATCCACAAGGTTTATCAGGACAGAGGCAGATTTTTTTTAAAAGGGGTCTCAAATTCAGGGTTTGTGGCACAAGCATGATATATTTCTGCTAAAAATCACACTTCTGCCGCAAAGATACTGTTCTCTAAAAAGGGCTGTTGAGAATGGTAAGTTGGACCCTTCCCATTAGAGAAGAACATACTTTTAGGTTCCAAATAACAAGCATAACCTTTCATCATGCTTCTGTGGACTAGCCTCTACTGGAAATAGGCAACATGTGGAACTCTGCCTACTGAAATGTTCTGAAAACGATCAAGCAGCACACTAGTGGTATTCAGGTAGCATTCGGGTACATAAATCCACAGAATCATATTTGTTTCTTTAGACAAAACATCTCATTCTTCATGAGCCCTGGGGTGAATCGCAGAATCCAAAATTTGGAAAAGACATTAAATGTCACCCTCATTCATTGAAGGGAAGGTGACAAGAAGCAACTTCTAAGCTAAAGTAACCTCTTCAGAGGTATAACCTCTATAAGAAACCTGAGCCCCAAATCCCATTCATGGTTTCACCCGAGATTTAAGATAATATTCACGGAGTATTGTCTATGTGACAAGCACTTTGTATGTTACGTAAATTAATCTTCCAAACAACACTCTGGAGCGTTATTCTCCCTGTGCTGCAGACACTTACGGGAAACTTAGCTCAGAGAGGTCAAGTGAATTTCCTGTGGTCACAGAGTGAGGAAATGGCGGAGCCTGAATTGAAACCTTGGCCAAACATCAAGCCCCTGCTCATTCTACTTTCCACATACTCTGCACTCTGCCTCCCACTAAGGAGAACAACAGCGGTCTTTCTATGCTTTGGGGGAGGATAGAGATGGAAAGAGATTCATGACACCAGTATCAAGATCCTGAGACCCGCAGCCTTAAGCAATCCACTCACGGGCTCTGCAAAAGCATTGTCCCAGAGGACGGTGGCCGTCGCGTTGTTGTCCTGGCTGCCGTGAACAATCACCACCACCGGGAGGGACAGGGTCTAGAAAAGACATAGGAGCAGGGCTGAGCACCCATGGCGCTTGGCCCTTCTCTTCTTGTTTTTCTATCACAACATGTTCTTCTCTCTTCAAGTTTCCGAAACCATCACCCTCGAATACAGCATAGGAACGGCTCCAGGAATAACAAGACTTCTCATACTGGCACGGTCTTTGACATTTTAGATATTTTGAAACAGAGATTTCTGTGTGACATTTAGAGATTTAGATATTTCTTAGCTATTTCTGAAGGATGGAGTAAGTTTCTCAAAGTTACATGGGGAACAAGAGAGAAAACGGGAAGAGTAAAGAGACATTTTTGGGGAAAAAACAGCAAGTAACAAATGTCTGAAACTTACTACAACTGTTATTCAAATCCATCCTGAGTGATATTTCTCTTGGTTCATTTCTACCTATATCTCCAACTATTTCATTTCATTATTATTTTCAAGTCTTATGAGAATCTAAGACACAGAGTCCTCTCTATGGAAATCTTTAGTAGAAGGTGAAGGATTTATACGATTTGAAAACAAATGTAAGGAACCCATCTCTTCACTTCTGTTCACCAATCATCCAAAGAAGATACTATGTGATCAAAACAATTCTTCTTTTGGGATATAAAGTACACACATACCTTGACTTGAAAAACCAGCTCATTTCCACCAACACTGAACTGTGATTCAAACAAGATTGTAAATTTTTCTTCTGTCACTGACTCTGCTCCACGACGGTCAGACCTCTTAATCCGTTTCAGGGACTACAATGGAGAAAATCAAGAGGATAAAGCCCTCGAACAACTAGGGGAGATTCGTCCTTCCTCTTCTCCCACGCTCACCATGTTCCTGAAGTGGGCGCTGAGGGTGCCTGTGGCCTGGTGGTACTCCATCACACAGCAGTTGTTCAAGATCTCTCCGCTGTAATCACTGCAAATCAGAGAGATTGGACACTAAATCCATATGGGGCCTCAGCAAACGTGAGGTAAAAGATATATTTGGGGTAGGAGGAAATAAACAAGATGGTTAAAAACTTATGTCATTTAGAGGAAATGTAAGCCACATAAAACATACAAGAAGATTTTTAGATACACATCTACTAACTGAAACAAAATCGTAATTTCTGCACAGAAGAACCTCCCTGATTCCTTCTCTGAGAGCTGAAGAGGCCAGAGGGCTAACGGGTTCCTACACAGGAACAGCCAGGTCTAGAAACTGCTTAGGAGATGGGATCGCATCCCTCCCATTTCGAGGACAACAGGGGACGGGCAGGCGGAGGAAGGGCGACGTACTTGCGGGTGTTCTCGTTCTTGAGCAGAGACTTGGCCTGCTGCTCACTGATGATGGTGGCCTTCACCTGGGGGGGGTTCATGTGCACGTTCAGCTTCCCGCCCACCAGCAGGCGCACGGTGGCTGCAAACTTGGTCTGGGTCTTCAGGACCTGAGGGGGCTGCTTCTCGATGATGAACGTGCTGCGGGCACACAAATGACCGGGCGCAGCTTCAGGGGACAGAGCTCTGGTCCCTCCCTCCCCACAGGGAGGCTGCCTTGCAGGGGGCTCAGCAGGAAAAGGAAGGGCACGTGGCACAGCCCCCAATCCCTGGGAGGCCACTGCAAGTCAGGGAAGGTGGTGGGAGTGGAGGCAGCGAAATGAACTCAGCAGCTGAAACGGGCTGTAGGGGACAAGGGCAGCCCATGCAGTGTCCACGAGAGACACCAGGCAAGGTCAACATCCAGAGGCCATAGCAACAGGGGATGGAGGGGGATGGGATGAGAGTGCGAGACAGAGAGAAACAGGATTCAAGTGGGAGCTCCCCGTCCACAAAGCCCC